TCAGACTGCTTTTGACTCATAAACACGGTAGCAAAACGGAAGTGACTGCTTTTCGACCTTCACATGTCAGGACTCGCTAGTTTTCGATACACCTGTGTGGGCCCAGCTCCCTGTGGATTTCCAGGGCGCCACAACTGTAGGCGCTTCTAGCGAGTCGAAATTTTCAGTATCCCGACCGCTGCCTTATCTGCAGTTTCGACAGTTTAAAAGAAGGCTGGAAGGAAACAAAGGCGGACTAAACAATTTTCGATTGTTGCCACGCCGGGCTCTGGTTTCATCGCTGGTTTTGCATTTTTTCGCTCAGTTTCTAGTTTGGGCGTCCATAAGGCAAAGTGTCACGAAAAATTACGCAATTCTTCGTTTCCAGAGACACCTGGTTGACTCTTTCTACGGATATGCGTACTCGTAAAAGTATGTCTGCATTTGTCAAAAGTCTTTCCGGCGTAGGAAGAGTAACTTGAAAAGAGGTATGCAGAGTACGAGAATAGGAGATCCCTCGTAAGAAAGACGCTGTTTATGGAATTTAGCGCTAAGCCACTTGTATAAGTGTACGTTTTTATTTCTATGTCTTACCGATAATTACTTGAATTATCGTGTTATTCTGTTCCAAAAAATTTTGACATATGCGGTCTGCCAAAATCGCCCACTGCAGCAGATGACTACATGGTTAGAGCGCCTTTTTCATCGACTACCTATGCCAACAGCAATTCAGTACTGTGTCGCGGAAGGCCAACATAAAATATCTCCTACCATTTTGTAAAAGTTTTCAAACATAAAAGATTATCATTCATGTTTGATCTCAACAACAAATCAGGTAATATTGTAACCTGAACATGCAGCAATTGTGTTCAGTGTTTAAACATTCTATGCATTACACTTTTTATCTAACCCGAGCCATTTTTTGTTAGGTTGAGAAGATACTGCTTAATGCCCATAGCCTATTGATAGACATGAGCCCACTTATTTTCTATGAGAGTAGTCTAGATGAGGTAAACGTACTTGCCAATCAAAAGAGCGCAAGATGAGTTTAACATGGAGCCTCTAAATAAAACGCATTCTATACAGACCATGAAAACCACAAGAACAAATATAGACTACTTGAGTAGTTATTCGGAGCAATCTGTGATTTTCCTTCGGAGGGTTAAAAAGATGTTGCTCTTTAATTTCCTCAAAAATCGATCGCCAAATTGGAGTAAACCAGACTGAACTATGGTCTAGAGGGGCAGACCGAAATTTGAAAGGCTAGAAAGTTGCCTGTTGAAAATTCATCATTCCGGTTACAGTACATAGACCTACTCATTGAGAACCCACGTCACTTGCCTTTTCTAATTAGGACCACGTGATTTACATTTCAATCAATTTTCACGTGCTTCGTCACCCGCAGTATGCCTTGTTAACTGGAGATAAAATGTACACTTTGGGCCTGAGTGAGGAAAAAGGATCGTCTCAAGACTGCACATATGCCCATCATCGGAGGTGAACTTAGCACCGCCCATTTAGTGGGCAGTCCGCCGTCTTGAAATACTTGTCTTTCAAAGTGTTCTGCCAGGACTTCTTCGGTTCAGCGTCATCGAGAGAGCTTGGACAAATTGCCGGTTTCATAGCGTTGGACCTAAGGATCCTGTCACAGCGCGAACCACAGCATTCTGTCTAATGGTTCTGATGCAGTTCTTGCGAAGTAACTAACGTGGGAAAAACTGGTAGTCGATCATAAACACATGGGAGGTAACAGACCACCAGCGTAAAGACCAAAGTGGCGTTGTTCGTTAGTCAAATGCACTACAACCGGGTGATTGCGACGAGGCCAGAGAGGCTTCTGTGATTCAGGACACGGCTGTTGTCAGGGCCTGTCTCTTGAAAAAACCCATGTGCCCAGACGTGAAGCCAAATCCGTGAGACCGCGGAGAAAAAAGCTTTTGGAATGTGGCCGCCGTATTTCGGTCGTAAAACCAATGTAAATAAATGCGCTGCCGCTATCTAAGCCTGTCAGTCCAGTACTATACTGCCCGAAGTCAACATAGGACGAAAAGGCACGGGCGGTGAGGGGGCGGTAGTCGCTTTCGCACCTCGGAGAGCAGATGGACGACTGATGAACTTGCTGGACTCCGGATTGACAGCCATCAATCTTAAATACCGGGGCTCCTTTTCAGTTGGCGGGAGTATCATACAGGATTTAGAAATGACTGGAGGAGTATACATTTTATTGTTCTATATAGAGGATTTCTTTCCAAATATATTGAACTGGAACTTCCAAGTCAAGTCTACTGGAGACACTACTGGATGCAGCGGCTGGATAGGTACTCCTGTCCTCATTTTAGTTCCAATTATTCAGTTCTGGACATTTGTATGATGCCCAATATTAACAGAATTCGGCCAGCTTATTGTTTACAAGCAGGCCATTACATGATCTTCATACGCAATCTGACTATTTTGCGGAGCAGTATGAGAGCTTTTTATGTCAACCGCTATGCCGATACTAGCGGAGACGTCTTAAGTTAGTTCTGCTTATGTAGATCAGCTTGTAGATCACGACAATGCTAAATTGCTGACGACTGCCAATAAAACAGAAATGCCTTGTTTAATTTCCGAGGAAATTAATACGCGAACTTGGAATAAATCTTCCGAAACGAGCCTTTTTAGGCACGGTCCAAATTTTGATATGAATATTTGAGCTGAAATCCATCAACTACTGCGGAATAACCGCTTTATATTCACAAACCGCCAACAGGCAGCCAGTAGTATAGATCTGTGCAATGATTTACCGTACTAACAACACAGGTATTAGCTAAAAGCCCAGACACGCGTGTTTTCTGCAAACTTATGCCGCTGGCTGACGCAGCTTCGAGGCAAAACACGAGTTTCTGGGCTTTTAGCTTATACCTGTGTTGTTAGTACGCTAAATCATAGCAAAACAGAAGTGGTCATTCCAGTCTCCCTTGTCTATGTCGGTAAAATCATACGGTTAAATTGCTTGTCCGACAGCTTGCATAATGAATTGTGCATTTATAACGACTCTACCACCATGCCCAACGGCGTCTACCGTATGCTGCACAACAAGGTGAGGCAGGCATAGTGAGTTGCTCGAGAATATGTATATAATGGAAGCAAACTTGCACAGCATCTATCGCACTCGCTCCTATCTCCCCCCTAGGCCAGGTGTCAAAACGGTGTGCAGAAAACCGGAGGCGGGCGATTGCTAAGTGGCTGACGCGACTGGACTCGCACATAAACGTAACACCATACCCTCTGGTCCACAAAAACTTTTGACCAATATTTTAGCTAACAGTAACAGCGTGAAAAGTGGTCAGAAATTCGACTATGATGACTGGACAACCAAGCTAAGGATATATGTACCCAGAGAGAGCACAATCACATCTACCGGCAGGAAAAAAGGTGTCAGAGAACTTCCAGCGCGCAATAGGGCTGCGAAGGCCGTGGTTTGCTGATTCTGGCATAGCACATGCCTGCATACCTTGAGGGCCTTGTAAATTTATAGTAAGTTAAATACGGTAATAGGAATCTCCGTTTTGCAGGTGAACTTACGCTAAATTCCCGCGACCAAACTTTAATCCTAACTGCCCCTGAAATCAAGCGCAGTGCCACCTGCAATATGAGGGAGAGGTCATACTTCCGTTGTCTACCTTATCCTTAAGGGTAAATTCCGGTTCGACAAAATGCCGCGATAATACACTAGTGGGTCAGAACGCATCAGCCTAAAAGCATTGATCTACACGTTATATTATTTAAACTAATCGCCCGCAGTTTTTAGGAAGCTGGCTACTTTGACAGTTCGTTTGCCTGTAGGATCTCATAAAGATGTTCGAAAATACATAAGTCGGTCGATGCTGCGCTTAATTACAATACTTTCTAGGCAGTAGAGCTGCAATGTCTGAAGCCGCCAAGTATTTTGCTCACTTGGTCTGTGACTTGATCCAAAAGGCAGACTACAATCACTGAAATCCTTGAGTCAACTGTCAAGTGGAATTTATCATTCCGCTTTTTAAGAACAAAAAGGTTAATAGTAATATGTTAATTCGAGCACGTCTGTATTTTTCAGGTGGCTTTAATTTGACTTTGACATTTAAATTTTTAACGATTGTTTACTTAGATGGGGTTGCGATTTTCGTTACCGGTCAGCACTAACTCAAAATTTTCCAGGTACGCCCGGATACGACTTTTGAGTGAGTTACTTGTCGATCGCCGGCAAAAACGCCTACTTTGGTGGCATGCATTTTCCCATAAATTTTGCACAAACATATTTACCGTTGCACTCCTCTGGTGGAAAATGTCTTCCTTAAATGTTATCCCTTAAGTAAGGAGATGTTTCAGTTCAAAAAATTCTTAATTAGGCGTTCCTTAAGACTATGAACTTACATCCATACGACATCGTATGTGATCACTTATTATTACTTATTATTATTCATTCCCTTGCTCCTGTAAAGCAGGATACATCGGCCGCACAACGAGACGCCTGGTAAAGAAGGTGCGTGAACATATGCCCGCCTGGCTAGACAGAGGTGAGGCCCGATCGATTTCGAGTTCTATTCTCACACATTTAGTCGATACGGATCACCGAGTCGATGCCAAGGCAGCATTTCAGGTTGTCTACTGGACACCAACATGCTTTTCGAAAAGCCAACGCCAACGGATACTAGCAGCGGCCGAGGCAGTGGCCATACGGCTAGCGAATCCGGTGTTCTGTTGTCAAGAAACCCTGACACAAGCGCTCTCCCTGCCGTGGCCAACGCCAGCCCCAAGTGATGAAGACATGACGCCTCAAATCCCTAATTAGCGTGATGGGTACTCCGTGTACTCAATCCAAGAACATCACTCAAAGACTCTCCTACCCCCTCCCCCAGCTCTGAGAATCAACTTAATAGCCCTTGAGACACCTCTAAACACTGTTGATTTTGTACATTTTCATTCCTTCATGTAACAGTATTGGCCTGACGAAGAATTACCTAAAACACGTGTTTGCCAACTTGACTTTTCAAGTAATGCTAATTAATTAAAAGTCCGCAAGCATCTGCTATGCCAGGACTGGCAAACCGTGGCCCTCGAAGTTCGCTGACACCTGGCTCCGTGTCGGTAGATGCGCTTGCGCTAGGTATACAGGTGGTGAGCGTGGCTACCCAGTCATCCTCTTCCTCCTCCTCCTCGTCCTCGTCCTCCTCCTCCTCCTCCTCCTCCTCCTCCTCCTCTTCCTGACTCGTCATGGTGTTGTCGCTGTTGGTTAAAATCCTTGTCTGCTATTGTGTGAACCAAGGGGTGTGGAGTAAAGCGCCAACCTATCGACTCGGCCGCGCCCTCCACCTGCTTCCTTCTCCGCCTCTGGTCTTCCTGACTCCTTCTTGACACCGGGTTCTGGTGTTGGGGGAGCGGGAGAAGGTGCCGTAGATGCAGCGAAAGTCCACACTCACTGTAAACTAAATTATGCGTAATTCTCCGTGCCTGTTTTACCTTGCTGTGGAGTACACGATCGACACCGTTGAATGCAACGATTGAACTGCCAATATGGTTAATAGCAAGTACAAAATACCATGAGCTCTACATATCATATTATTAGAAGCGTAAGGAAATCCGGAATTTTTCTTACATAGAAAGCATACGACATGTAGTCTGGAGATCGCAAGCACATGTGCGACTGCCGTAAAGCTGCAAACTACTTAAAACATCTCATTTCTTAGGGTACACAGTTGGAATATGTCGTAAAGCATTACCAAACTTGTACGAGGGGTAATATTTTCGCGCATTGGTTCTATAAGTTGAAGAGGAAAAAGTTCTACTGTCCAAATAAGCATATTTTATCGAACGCAGTGTTTACAGGCGGCTCCTTCAAAAGCCGGAATTCTGTCATGACTGCACTATCGTTTGATTGTTGGTGAAAGATAATGGCTATTACTGCATTGCCTCGACAATTCTTTCTAAGCAAAAACGCATTTTGAAATTTATGTTAGCATTTAATTTAAATGTTTTCAGATTTGCTTAGAAAACAAAGGCGAATATTGACAAAGACGGGAGAGACCGGAAGGGCTTATCAGCCGATCACTTTTCAACTTCAAAAGCGCTTAAACAATAGGCATTGTCTAAATAGGCAAGGGATTCAGTCAAAGGAGTAAATAAAGAAATATTTCAAGTAACCAAATGCCCAATAACAGGAGCCTTCAGTCAGCACTAAAATATATAACTTTGAATAGCTGAATTGACTGCGGAAGTTATTCGCCAGTTCAAGGTCACGATCAAGGTTAGGAGAGCAGGAGTTGGAGTTTCATGCGAAATCGAGAATCCTAATGAGGCGGGAGTTGAGTTGGATAGGGGGCGGTAAACGTGCATCTTGCTCGGTAGATTATGTGGATATGCATAAGTTGCGGTATGATCAAAATTATTCAATTTTTTGCGCGGTACATGTGGCGGATGGCACATGCGCCCATCGGTTTTGAGATTGCATGACAGATTTGCGTTGAGCAGATTCAAACGGACGTCATGTGGGATGGGTAGGACTGGCTGACAACAGTTAATAAGTCAGGAATGGTCATCCCAGTTACCGGGAGAAGCGAACAGGCGAGTTCGAGGTAGCAGTTCAGAAGACGAAGATGCGATCACTGGAACAAGAAATTTATTGGCCTGACGTTTCGGATTCTCACTCACACAGGCCGGAAGCAACCAGTAGGCGCCAAGTCATGAGACCAGAAGACCCGCTGCCACGGCAGGAAACGTCTGGAGTCGTTTACCGGATCTGGTGTAGTTGCGGACAAAGCAACTATGTCGGAGAAACTGGGAGATGACTCCGCATGCGAATTGCCGAGCACGCAGCAGCAGTGAGGCGGGGAGACGCTAACTCTCAGGTGGCGGCACACTCGACGGGACTCGGCCATATTTTCAAATTTAAAGAGGCTGAAATCCTCGCAAGGGGTGACAACCGCGTGAGTCGCGAGCTGCTCGAGTCATGGTTCTCAGGCCCGTAATCCATCAACAAGCACAATGACCTCCCGGTACCATATTCCGTGCTGAGATTTTCCCTGGGCAGGGGAATCAGTCACGTGGGGAGGGTGCGGGCGAGCAATTATTCCCGTGACAGTGAGCCAATTTGCCGAGCAATGGTCACACCAGTATCCAGTACGGATGACGAAATCACGGCAGTTAACGAATCGGACTCGAACCGGCAAGCCACAACCGCATAAATTACGACCCCAGCGGTAATTGCGAGAGCTGTTAATTACAGTGCGCATATGGTCCTCGGCAGCCACGTGCTATAAATACTGCACTCCTTGTGCCACCATCACCTTTATCTGCCAATGTCTCTGTTGATGGATTCGACCGAGAATACGAAACCTCAGGCCAATAAATTTTTTGTTCCAGTGATCACATCTTTCTCTTCTGATCCCAGTTACCCTTGTATTTATTGGTTCGTCCCTCAACATATATTCTTAAAACGACTCTCAAGATAAGAAGACGGGTGTTTTCCCTTCTTGCAAACAATCACCTGTAAGTTTGAACTCCGTATACTCCCTCATATACACTGATTGTCATTCAAATTGCTCCCCGGTAAAAGAAACTCACGAAATCTCGAAAAATGTCCTTGTCTGAGAGGCCAAAATTTTCCGCCATAAGTCTAGGACTTTAGGCATCTAAAAGTTCCCTAAGTACACTAGAGTACCTATCAGATGATCGCTAATCACTCGCAAATTTACACAAGGTCATTAATCCATTTATTTATATCGACGAAGAGCAAAATGTCTGTGAAGGCGAAATGCTCAGTAAATATGTCTGCACGAATAGAGCAATGTTTAGCAATCGTTTTTAGCAAAGTTGATATTTATTTATTCTTAAAGAATTTGTGAAATCTCAGGTATAACGGTTGCCGAAAGTTCAAATTGTGTGTAGAGTCTAAAAAGGCTTCTTGAGACTTTGCTGTATTTTCCCCTTTCGCATTAAGTAAGATGCGATTAAATAAGGAAAACATTATAATGCCTAAGTTTGCCGATAGGGACGCCATAAGAATAAACGCTTTTATGGGGGAACCTGTTGCTAGGCCGGTCAATGACTAATAAGTATAACTAGAAATTACGTGCGTAGTTGCAAGCATACAGTTTTCTCTTGTGAAACAAGTTTGAACTTTGCATTTGTTTTCAATTACATTAAGTTTTAGATCATTTTAGTTTTGAAATATCGCCGAATACTTCATCTTTCGCAGTGTTTTCATTTTATTTCCCATAGAGGCAGACTCTTTATTATAGGTTTGCTAAAACCTTTCAAATAAAATACATATGAGAACACTTGCCAGCGTAGTAAGTGTTTAGGAGTTCCTTATCATGCAGGTAGTCGCTTGGACTACATATGAAGACGCATCCAAACAAAAAACTTTGTTATCAAAAACCCTTAACGCCCACAACAAAAGTCAACCAACAATATGCCTGCGATCGATTAGGAAAACCTCTAAAAATTATCTGTTTAGGGCGTACTGTAATATTGCATTTTGTCGACGGACGTCTGTGCACTTCACACTTTTAAATGGTGAGACGAAACAAAATTTGGCACTTTTGACAATTTATTTCATGTCACTGAAAAATGCTGGTAATATTTCTGCCGTTAACCGTTTTCGCTATCTCTCTTTACTGGTATGTCTGTTCTACAATTATGAATGCACAGTAGAGCGGCAAGATAAGTATTGGCGTTTTGCTCGTTTTATTTCTAAATCACGAACAGACAAAAAGTGAGTCTCACAAAATGCAGTATTCCATATGTTAGAAAATGAGGATGTCTATTCGATGACAGTCATTTTGATGCAACCCTTTGGTATTTTTCAAATGGCGGAACAATTTAGACCGATTTAAACAAAGGATCGTCTGGGTGCGTCACTTCCGCACTTTAGGGCACGACATCGCACAGATTTGCTAGCCTGACTTTTAGAAATCGATAAAACTCTTGGTTCTCTAAAAAAAGACTGTGCAAACAAACTGATTCCTCCGGTTCGCAGCAGATGAAAAAAATCAATTTTAAAATGCGCTAAGTTCTGTTTAGTAGAACTCTTGAAGTTAAAGTATTCTGGTCTCGGAGAAAAAAACACTTGGAAGAAGAGGAAGACAAAATCGAAGACGAGGGCGGGTAAAAATATCGTATTAGCATCACAGTTACGTAATAAAATTGCGCGAACAGCTTTAAGAAGAGGGTGGGCGAGTGAATAAATTGCGCAACGTTTAAGGTGTCGAAAAATCTTCACACCAGTTTTCCTCATCACGTTTTATGAGTAAGCTCACGTACCGTTTGCCCCCCCCCCCCCCAAGGAAAGACAGTAGAAGTGATGAAAGCTGATAGCGTTCCATCGTAAATTTGAAATTCGGTGGCCGAGATAGCAATTCCTGCAAGAATTCATTCATATGCTAGAGAGGTCAAGGCGGCCCAAGTGTGATTTGTCAAACAGTGAGCCATTCATAAGTATTTTGGCAGATTTTGAATAATTCATATTGACCAAACTACGCAAAACTCGGCGCCTCGGTGGGATTCGAACCCACTCAGTAAGGAGAAGGCTGTAGTACGGCCACCGCTCAAACCAATTGAGCTACGAGGCCCCGCCGGACGACTCGAGTTTAATAACATTCGGGTCAGGTTTACCCGCCCACCGAGGCGCCGAGTTTTTCAAAGTTGGGTAAATATGAAACAGTGAGTCGACTCGGATGCATACAAGTTTTTATACTATGCATAACGTCAGTAAAGACACTGCCATGTAGGGGTTATTGCTAAACGCATTTTGTCAGACAGACTGGCTGTGAAATCTTGAGAATTGCCGTCTGGTGACATCCACCTCACTATATCCTAAAGGTTGCGGCCCCAATGGTTCGCGTACACGTACGTCCGTGTGGTAAAACCTGTCCTTCAATGTTCATTCGAAATGTTATATCTTCTCATTATCCATAGGTATTTTGATAGATTTTGAATAATTCATACTGACTCAATTGTGAAAAATTCGGTACGTCGGTGGAATTCGAACCCACGCAGTAAGGAGGTCTTTGGTACAGCCAACGCTCTAACCACTTGAGCTACGAGGCCCCGTCGGAAGTCATGAGGTTAATCACATTTGGGTCAAGTTTACTCGCCCAACCTACTAAAACATCTGAAATCCTCCAAATCTGATACAGTAGGTTGACTGCCCAAGCAGTATTTCCTAAGTAATTCACCTAGAATCCACCAGATGACTACCAGGCTCACGTAATTCATA